GAAACTACTATTTGGGTGGTTGTCACAATGATGGTCCCTTTTTGGGTACCCTATATATTAGGTGCCACATTATAAAAGGGATCCAAAAAGGGACCATAATTTTGACGACCACCCATATGGTGACATGTAGGATGTAGGTTGTGGTGTATGGCGGTTGCAGCCGTTACATGGAGACATGCAGGTTTTAGGGCTTGGGCTATCTAGGTCAGGGTTTAGGGGTATGTAGGGTTTGGTGGGGTTTAGGGATATGTGGGAGCCGAGGGTTGCGAAATCCCTGCATGGTCTGCGGGCGCATGGGCAGCTGGGTCGAAATTTTGAAGGCCCCCAAAACCACGTATGAATGGGTACCCTTGTAAAACAATAAGACTCCTTATGAATTATCCCAAATGCCACCTGAGTAACTGGTGAAACGTTGGTACTGGGTAACTACAAGTTTGCCCCAAACATGGCTACTTAAACCACCCTCGGGCTTAGTGACATACACACATATTGCAGGCGTAAACGGATGCTCTGGCGTGACCCTACTTCGAACTTAGCGTCATTGAGGTAACAATAACTTATTCATCCCTGTATATCTCTGTATAAGTACTTCCTATACACCCCGTTTAAACCCGGCATATCCTTAGACAACCCCCATATACCGGTTAAGCACGCCCCAAAATTGCTATCAGCCTGAAGCATCATGTATCCAATGAATAGTAGCTTGCACCCAGGGGGGTCCAGAGAATATAGCATGCAGCAAACATTATCCACAACCTCTGTAGTCATCTTTGTGCATCCAGAATGATAGATAGATATTCCACTTTCGCCACTCCTGATAACAAATTTCGTGCTATTCTTCAGCGCTACGCTTACTTTGAGACCTGTTTGCGTTAGCGCTATAGCTTGTTGCGCTGCCCTTCAGCAACGAGTCTGCCACCGAGGGTCTGTACACTTGAAAGTGCAGCGGGTCCCGCAGAAGATTGTCTCGCAAAGAGGTGAGGTCTGACGCAAGCTCGTTACCTGAGGTATACATAACCTAGGTAGGCATCTTACAGAACCCATTACTTTTATCTACAGTGGTAGTCATCAAAAACTATAGAATAGTACCTGACCTGGTTCTGACTCCAGTTTGCTGCTGCTTAGTACAGAACGTTAGATACAGTGCTGGCATGCTGGTACTGATGCTAGCCGTTAGCCTCAGTAGCCAGTTACAAGGATGCTTCGGGGTTGGAGGGTCGGATGCCAAGCAGAATCCACGATCTTGGTAACTAATATCGCTAGATAAACCAGGTGTCCCCTTCAGAATGCATGTTCTGTTTCCATGTCATATGCTCCATTAATATCCATTAGTAACCACCCTTCAGAGGAGCAAAATGCAATTAGCTGGAGGATTACTGCACAAGATGTTGAGATGGATTCGGCGGCGTGAGGTCAAGTCAAGGTTTCCAAGTCAGTGGCAACGTAAAGCGGCCAGGAAGCTTCCACCTTTGTCTGGATGGCTTTTCAGCGCCAAGCGCCTGTATGCGCGGCGAAGCCCTTTTTCGGAGCTGTCCTTGCTGGGACGTCTTGCCAAGGGCATGCAGAGTCGGGAGCTTGCTGAGAGGCTCCATCAAATGAGACTAAGTTCTGTCCTTTATCCCGAAATTGTGTGTAGCCCTTTCTGTCTCTCTCTCCCCCCATGCTCCTCACCAGTGCAGTCGGCGAAGCCTTGCCGCAACGACGCAGAGCCCCGGAGATAGGCAAGGCCAAGGAGCGTCAGTAGACCAACCGGAGGCATGGCTGTTTTGTTGACCCAAAGGCAAAGTAGACACTGGCAACTGGCTATTTGAAACTCTTGCGATGGGGTTCACCTTGCCTTACAGGGCTCCAGGGGTAGCTTTGCATATGGATGATGGAGTCTCTTGTAGGGGTTATACAGGGGTCATTTAAAAAGAAACCTATGGTACTTTCCCTAAATGGGGACCCCAGAATAATAGACCCCTAAACAAGTCCTAAAGCACCATCGCCTTTTTCACAGGGACCCTCAAAAAGGTACCCCGCATTTTGTGGAAAGCCTAGACACTACAGATCTCCATACATCTAGGGGTTTAGGGTTTAGGGTTAGGGTATATAACCCCCTAAACCCTAAACCCCTTTTAAGGGACCCTGAAGCCCCTAATCACCGGAGCATTTTTGATCAACCATTTACCATGTCTGCTTCACCTGGAGCCGTAGGCCGCGCAACAAACATGTGAGTAGCGTTTTTTTTGTTGGTTAAACCCAGTAAGGTTATATTCCTTATATAAAAATACTATATAATCTAAAAGGAGGATAGAATCTTACTCTATATTGGGTACCATA